TCAGGAGTTCGAGACCGGCCTGGCCAATATGGTGAAGCGCCGTCTCTACTAAAAAAACACAAAAATTAGCTGGGCATGGTGGTGCGCACCTGTCATCCCAGCTGCTCCTCAGGAGTCTGAGGCACAAGAATCGCTTGAATCCGGGAGGTGGAGGTTGCAGTGAGCTGAGATCCTGCCACTGTACTCCAGCCTGGGCGACAGAGCGAAAGACCCTGTCTCAAAAAAAAAAAAAAAAAAAAAAAAAAAAAAAAAAAAAAAGAAAGGAAGAAAAAGAAAGAAAGAAATGGTTCATTGCAACCTCTGACTCCCGGGTTCAAGCAGTTCTCCTGCCTCAGCCTCCTGAGTAGCTGGGATTACAAGTGTGCACCACCACGCCCAGCTATTTTTTGTATTCTTTTAGTAGAGACGGGGTTTTGCCATGTTGGCCAGGCTGGTCTTGAATCCTGACCTCAGGTAATCCACCCACCTAAGCCTCCCAAAGTGCTGAGATTACAGGCATGAGCCACTGTGCCCGGCTCACTCTTACTATTTACAATAGCATCAGAAATATTAAAAGCTTAGAGCGGGCCCGGGGCAGTGGCTTACACCTGTAATCCCAGCACTTTGGGAGGCCGAGGCAGGCGGATCATGAGGTCAGGAGATCGAGACCATCCTGGCAAACATGGTGAAATCCCATTTCTTCTAAAAATACAAAGAAATTAGCCGGGCATGGTGGTGGGCACCTGTAGTCCCAGCTTCTCGGGAGGCTGAGGCAGGAGAATGGCGTGAATCCGGGAGGCAGCGGAGCTTGCAGTGAGCGGAGATCGCGCCACTGCACTCCAGCCTGGGCAACAGAGCAAGACTCCGTCTTAAAAAAAAAAAAAAAAAGCTTAGAGAGAAACTTAATGAGCAATACTTAAGAATTCTATACTAAAAACAGGAATTTCTTACAGGAATTAGAGAAGCTAACTAAAATGGAAAGCTATAGCATTGTCATGAACCACAGAACTCAATATTGCTAAGACATTAGTTCTCACTAATAAAAAACCTAGCACGTTTATCTAAAGAAATCAAGAAGTTGATTCCAAAATGAAATTGAGAAGAAAATGACCTAGAATAGCTAAAAGTTGTTTTCGTTTGTTTGCTTGCTTTTTTTTGAGATAGAGTCTCACTCTGTTGCCCGGCTAGAGTGCAATGGCACAGTTTTGGCTCACTGCAATCTGTGCCTCCCAGGTTCAAGCAATTCTCCTGCCTCAACCTCCCGAGTAGCTGGGACAACAGGCGTGTGCACCATACCTGGCTAATTTTTGTATTTTTAGTAGAGATGGGGTTTCACCATGTTGGCCAGGCTGGTCTTGAACTCCTGACCTCAGGTGATCTGCCCGCCTCGGCCTCCCAAAGTGCTGGGGTTACAGGCATGAGCCACTATGCCTGGCCCTAAAAGTTTTTAAAAAGCACAAAGTTAGAAGACTTACTCTAACTGACTTCTAGACTTCTTATAAAGTTACAATAATCAAAGACCAGGTGGTATTGTCAATGTGACTTTAAATATGTCCAAAGAAACAACAGATTGTCCAAAAATAGACTGACACAAATGTGATCAATTTTCTCTATGATCATCAGAGTAATTCAGGCAACAAATACTGATGGAACAAATTGATAACCATATAGAAGAATAGACTCTCGAACCCTACTTCACATCATAAAAAAAACATGAGGTGCATCACAGAACTAATCATAAAAAGCAAAATATACAGCCAGGTGCAGTGGCTCACACCTGTAATCCCAGCACTTTGGGAGGCTGAGACAGGCAGATGACCTAAGGCTGGGAGTTCGAGACCAGCCTGACCAACAAGGAGAAACCCCGCCTCTACTAAAAATACAGAATTAGTGGGGCGTGGTGGTGGATGCCTATAATTCCAGCTACTTGGGAGGCTGAGGCAGGAGAATCGCTTGAACCCGGGAGGCGGAGGTTGCGGTGAGCTGAGATTGTGCCATTGCACTCTAGCCTGGGCAACAAGAGCAGAATACTGTCTCAAAAAAAAGCAAAATATACACAGAAAATACAGAGCACTATCCTCACCATACCTAGAAAAGAGAACTATCCTCACTATACTTAGAAAAAGACAAATATTTGTTTGAGAGGTCAAATAATTAATTAATTATAAAAGAAACAATGATTAACTGAAATTCACCAAAGTTAAAAACTTCTATTCCTCAAAAGACACAATTAAAATGAATACACAAGTCATAGACTAGGGAAAATATTTGTAATACGTACATTGAACAAAAGATGTCTATCCACAATATGTAAACAATTCCTACTACTCAAGCAAAAATAGATACTACTTAAATAAAAAATGGATAAAACACTTGAACAGGGCTGGGCATGGTAGCTCACACCTGTAATCCCAGCACTTTGGGAGGCCAAGGTGGGCGGATGGCAAGGTCAGGAGTTTGAGACCAGCCTGGCCAATATCATGAAACCCCATCTCTACTAAAAATACAAAAAAGTACCCAGTGTGGTGGTGCACATTTGTAATCCCAGCAAATTGGGAGGCTGAGGCAGGAGAATTGCTTGAACCCAGGAAGCAGAGGTTGCAGTGAGCCAAGATTGCGCTACTGCACTCCAGCCTGGGCGACAGAGTGAGACTCCATCTCAACACCAAAGAAACAAACAAACGAACAAACAAACAAAACACTTGAACAGATGCCTCTAATATAAAAAGCACGTGAAAAGGTTTTCAATATTATTAGCCGTAAGATAAATCTAAATTAAAACTGCGAAGTTGGCTGGGTGCGCTGGCTCACGCCTGTAATCCCAGCACTTTAGGAGGCTAAGGCGGGCGGATCACGAGGTCAGCAGTTTGAGACCAGCCTGATCAACATGGTGAAACCCCGTCTCTACTAAAAATACAAAAATTAGCTGGGCATGGTGGCACACGCCAGTAATCCCAGCTACTTAGGAGGCTGAGGCAGGAGAATTGCTTGAACTCAGGAGGCAGAGATTGCAATGAGCTGAGACTGCGCCATGGCACTCCAGCCCAGACAACAGAGCGAAACTCTGTCTCAAAAAAAAAAAAAAAAAAAAAAACCTGCAAAGTTATACAACAAGAATGGCCAAAATGACCAGAATGGCCAAAATGAACATAAAATATAGAAAAGAATGTGGGGCAATCAAAATTCTCATACAGTGCTGATGAAAGTCTAAAGTGGTATAGTAGTTTTAGCTACTAAACTACCAAACTAAAATGGTAGTTTCTAAAGAAGTAAAATATGTATCTGCCTTATGAATCAGCAATATCACTGCTAGGTGTTTACTGGAGAAAAATAAACATGTATGTCCACAGAAATATTTTTACAAGAATGACTATAGCAACTTTGTTCATAAACTAAAAACATCCTAAACTAAAAACACCCCAAATGTCTTTCAACAAGAGATGCATAAACTGATATATTCATACAATGGAAAACTGTTTCACAGTTAACAAACTACTTATGCATGCAGAAGCATGTATAAATCTCTCAGACATGAAGCTGAGTGAAAGAAAGCAGATATGAAAAAGGTTTGCAATAGACAAAATGAATCTATGTTGGTAGACGTCACAACTCTGATTGTCTTAATGGGAGGGACTGAGTTGGAAGAGGCCTGGTGGATCTTAATGGGTTAATGAAACTGTCTTTTATCTTGATTGGAGTGTGAGATACATGGGTTTATACTTCTGTCAGAACTCACAGAACTTTACACTTTATATCTCCATGTACGTTATACCTATAAAACATGGAATAGATTCTTGGTAAGGTAATAGCAGCCAATATTTCCATAAACACAGGTAAACAAGGAAAAGATTTACATGGGGGTGATATTCATACCTAAAATTTACATTTTAGAGGCATGAAAGTCAGCCATATATAGGCACTTCACAGGTCTCAGGTCTTTAATACATCACTAATAGGAAGGCTACTATGAAAATATAGAAAATAAAAAGTGCTGGTGAAGAAACTGTAACCCTTGTACACTGTTGGTGGGAATGTGAAATGATGCAGCTACTACAGAAAACAGTATGGTGATTCCTTAAATATTAAACACAGAATTACCACATTATTCAGCAATTCCACTTCTGAGACTATACCCAAAAGAACTGAAAGCAGGGACTAAAACTGATATTTGTACACCCATGTTCACAGCAGCAATAGTCACAATAGCCAAAAGATGGAAGGAACCCAACTGACCACTGATGTATGAATGAATAAGCAAAATGTGGTATATACATACAACAGAATATTAATCAGCATTAAAAAGGAAAGAATGGATGAACCTGGAGGACATTATGTTAAGTAAAATAAGCCAGTCAGAAAAAGGATAAACACTATGTGATTCCACTTACAAGAGGTACCTAGAGTAGTCAAATTTACAGAGACTGTAAGTAGAACGGCGGTTGGCAGGGCTAGGGAGTAGGGATAAAGGGAAGTTATTTTTATTTATTTATTTTTTTGAGATGGAGTCTCGCTCTGTCACCCAGGCTGGAGTGCAGTGGTGTTATCTTGGCTCACTGCAACCTCTGCCTCCCAGGTTCAAGCAATTCTCCTGCTTCAGCCTCCCAAGTAGCTGGGATTCCAGATGCCCGCCACCACGCCCAGTTAATTTTTTGTATTTTTAGTAGAGACGGGGTTTCACCATGTTAGCCAGAATGGTCTCGATCTCCTGACCTCATGATCCGCCCACTTCGGCCTCCCAAAGTGCTGGGATTACAGGCGTGAGCCACCGCGCCCGGCTGTGGGAAATTAATGGGTACAGAGCTTCATTTTTGCAAGATGAGTTCTGGAGATGGATGGTGGTGATGGTTGCACAACAGTGAGAATGTACTTGATGCCACTGAACTATATGCTTAAAAAGTTTAAGATAGTATATTTAATGTTATGTGTATTTTACCACAATAACAAAAATAGATCCCTAAAAACATTCAAAGGCATCAACTACTTGACATTTAATATTTACTAGACTTCATTTATAGACTCACCCAGATAGCTGTAACTTGGAAAAATTCTCTGTGTCCATAGCTCTTCTCCTTGTTCCAACTTGCGGATCATATCAGGCTTAGTCATGTGAAACCCTGATGATGGAAAATGAGACTCTTGGTCTAAGCTGTTTCAACTTTAAAACTATTGAAGTAAGATAAAGATACAACTTCAAGGTAGTAAATGAGGTATACATTAATGTCTTACCAAAGTTAATACCTTATACTACACAAGTGATGATATAATCATATTTTCTTTTCTTTTCTTTTTTCTTTTTTTTTTTTTGAGACAGTCTCGCTCTGTCACCCAGGCTGGAGTGCAGTGGTGCAATCTTGACTCACTGCCACCTCATCTCCCAGGTTCAAGCAATTCTCGTGCCTCAGCCTCCTAAGTAGCTGGGATTATAGGTATGTGCCACCACACCCAACTAATTTTTGTACTTTTTAGTACAGATAGGGTTTCACCATGTTGGCCAGGCTGGTCTTGAACTCCTGGCCTCAAGTGATCCACCTGCCTCGGCCTCCCAAAGTGCTGGGATTACAGGCGTGAGCAACTGCGCCTGGCAAGATAATACTTTCTACTAAAAAAAAAAAAATTACCTCTAATCCCTGAAATTCAAAGTTCTATATTTATCAGGAATTCTTAGAAGGAGATGCATGACATTGAAAGATTCAGGAGTGCTTCTTACCCACAGATACAAAGTGGCAATAGTTTTCCAACATCACATCCCTGTAGAGGGCCTTCTGAGCAGGGTCTAGTTGCTGCCACTCCTCCTGGGTGAAGTCCACAGTCACATCCTTGAATGACACTGATCCCTGTAAGGGCATACTCTAGTTCATCCTGAAGTGATCGGAAATGTGTGAGAACTAGATATTGGAGACCTAGTACTGACAATGTTTACTGGTCAGACTAGTTTCCTTATTTATGTTTTATATTGTATAAAATTCTCTCTCTGAAAATACATCCATTTGTATTTACTTATAATCTCATGCTAAACATACTGAGATCACACTACTTGTCCTGAATGTGACTGGTTGCCTGGTAGACCAAAATGAATAAAACCCTGACCCTGCTCATGAGAAGTTACAGGCTAAGAGAGGGGCATACATGTAAATACATGCACTTAGTAGGTTTTACAGATGCAATGACAGAAATACGTACAAGGTAAAGTGTCACAAAACAAGGAAAAATTTCATTTTGTACTCTGAGGCTTCACTGAGGACATAAAAGTTTTGTACTCACAACGAATTTGTTTTGTAGGAATACAGGGCATCAGCTTTTAAAAATTCATGGGGAGAAAAAAACCAGTTAGTAAATCAGGAAATAGCAAAAGGCACAGTATGTTAGGAAACAGTCTTTGAGCTCTAAGAAGGAAAAGGTATATGGAGGTAGGCAGTGGGGATATTATGACATGACACTAGATTTTTTTTTCCTACAGAACAGCGGTCTTAAAGATATACTGAACACATTCCCAACATTGTAGCTATTTATAAACCATCAATAGGCATTTACGAAAATCTACATTGTTAATGATTACTGCTCTTGAATGTAAATTGTTAACATTTTATTTCCTTCCAGTAGACTATCTCGTACATTCTACTGTGATGCATGCCCTACTTTGGGTCTGCTGCTTTAAGGAATAGAAAGAACGTGAATAAACATAAGGACACACATGTTACGTGATAAAAGTTTTGAGGCAATACTCCTGAAGACTAGAAAAGGCTTAATGTATATTATGTGGGAATGACAATTAAGTAACCATGGTTAGAGATGTCTTCTAGATTAAGGAAGTGTCAGCGGACTGACGGAGAACAACTGCACCTACATGACCACCATTACAACAGAGATGGTTGTAAATTGACTGTAGAGTGGAAAAGATACAGGCATGTTATCTGCATAGGCAAATGCATGGCTGCTGGGACTAGAAAGTGAAAATGGGAAACAGAAGAAAATGTAGGCTGGACCAAAGGAAGTAATGAGGTAAACCTTGGAAGTGTACTTTAAGTGTCTGTGGAACATACAGGTGGTGATAGCTAGTGGAGGTTGGATATATAGTTTTGACACTCTGGACAGGGGTCTAGAGTGGAGAGGGGTATTTGAGAGTCACTAGAATCACACTAAGTGTAGCCTTCAGAGTGAATATGATTATGCATAGAGAAAAAGGGACTGTGAAGAAGAGAACCAATTAGCATCTGACGAAAACCAATATTGTAAAGGTTGGTGGATGAGCTAAAGAGGAATTTTCTGAAAGATATGAAAAGAGGACAAAGTACTGTTTGATCAACAATAGCGTATTTCAAAAGTGGCCTGGCATATGGATTTCCTTCTCCTGCACCAGCATATAAAACATTAAAAGAAACTAAAAAGAAAATAACAAATCTCTAACAGCATCAGAATACTGGAAAGGTTTTCACTGGCAGGCCACAATTTATAGGATCGGCTAGCAGACATGAATAAAACAGGAAGATCAGAGAGGAGGAACACAAAACCTGTTTCTTTGACAAGCCTGCAATCAAATTGCTACCCTAAACGCCTCACAAAGCAGGACATCTTTCCAGAACTAATGCTGGGATCTACCACTTCTATCTCCCAACATACCATTGCAAAACCTAGGCTAGCAGAGATAATTAAGGTTTTTCCATGTCTGCTCCATGACTACTCACAACTTAGATCTCAAATCAGCATCAGGACAAGTTAAATTGATTCAAGCCATATATTCCCATTTAAATCAAGATAATACCTTTCTGTTTCAGCAGTTTGTTTGTGAGAAGACTGAGAAAGGAGATGATGAATGATGTACCCAATGAATATGTACAACTAGAAGGTGCGCTTGGGGAAGGCTTAAGTTGATCTGGTTGGAATGGAGAAATTGTGAACAGGGCTGGATATAGGATGAGGCAGGTGAGGCATCTAGAATGCAAAATTTAGGAAGGCACAGCTCTGAGGGTACCCCTTAAATATTTCACCTCATGCCACTTGCCTGCCTCATCCTAATCTGGCCCTGACTGAAGACTAGTTTCACGGAAGAAAATCCCAATATCTGGGAAGGTTAAAGGACAGGGAAGCTCATGTTCATACACCATGAAAAAAAGTTATTCCAGAAAGAGAGGAAACATCATCTCACCTGAGACATGGCTTTGAGATTTCTAGATGAAACTTCTCTTTTGAGCTCTTCTTTTGGAAAAGGAAACAGTCCTGAGAAAGCAGAGATAGAGGATACATGTATGTGTGAGACCATACTTAACTCAGAACTCCCGGAATTAACTCAGTTAAATCTGCATGAATGTTCACTATTTCAGCACTTGTCCACCCTACGTACCCTTCAGATATCCAGGATGGTAGTTAGTGGGAAAACGGACAAATCAGTCTCCCTCACAAACACCAGAAACCCAGTCTGTTGGTAAAGTAGACAGGATTCTGGGGAACCTGTTTTAACTTCAAGAGAGGGAACATTGTGTTTTTCGCTCTGCAGCTCTGCCTTCCATCTCCCACTAAACACAGGTTTACTGTGTATTTCCAAATGGTTCTTCTTGGACTTTTTGCCAATTTACACTGACAGTAGTGGATGAGAATACCTTCCCAAGCCCTGATGAAGACAGTTGACAACTTTTAAATCTGTGCTTATCTGGTCTATATTGTATTGAGAATGATTTTTTTTTTTTTTTTTTTTTGAGACGGAGTTTCACTCTTGTTGCCTAGGCTGGAGTGCAATGGTACAATCTCAGCTCACCACAACCTCCACCTCCCGGGTTCAAGCGATTCTCTTACCTCAGCCTCCTGAATAGCTGGGATTACAGGCATGTACCACCACACCCAGCTAATTTTGTATTTTTAGTAGAGTCGGGGTTTCTCCATGTTGGTCAGGCTGGTCTCGATCTCCCAATCTCAGGTGATCTGCCCACCTTGGCATCCCAAAGCGCTGGGATTACAGGCATCAGCCACCACGCCAGGCCCGCAAAATAACAATTTTAATTATTACAGTGAGACTGGAGTTATTAAAAATCTATCCAATACTTTTTATTACCTTAGCATGTCTAAGGGAGTAGGGAACCTCACTCATATAGAAGTGTTGAAAGTGGTAGTTATGACAGGCACGGTGGCTCACACCTGTAATCCCAGCACTTTGGCAGGCCTGGAGGGGGAGGATCACTTGAGGTCAGGAGTTCAAGACCAGCCTGGGCAACATGGTGAAACCCCATCTCTACTAAAAATACAAAAATTAACTGGGTGTGGTGGCGCAAGCCTGTAGTCCCAGCTACTCAGGAAGCTGGGGCAGGTGAATCACTTGAACTCCAGGGGCAGAGGTTGCAGTGAGCAGAGATCACGCCACTGCACTTCAGCCTGGGCAAAAGAGCAAGATTCCATCTTAAAACAAACAAACAAACAAAAACAACAACAAAAGTGGTAGCTATGGTTAAAAAAAAATTTTTTTTTCCTGCATGGCCCCCAGTGGAACGCTATTCATTTCAACATATTGGTTTTAGTTAATATAGTGTTTCCAGGTAACGAATCTGGGAATTATGAAAATCACCTTTTCCCCTCTGATACTGTTATCTCTATTTTATTTGCTAAATTGCTGATTAGTTACAATTTTGGAGGGAGGTTTAATGGCTACCATTCAAATAATCAAATCTTACATAACCAACTAGCCATGGTCATAACAGAGTTCCTCAATCATTCAAATATTTAGGTCACCAAGGCCACAAAACCACCAGAAGTAACAGTAGGTTACAAACACATGCAGAGTCACAGTCAATCAAACATCCTTCAGAGAACCAGCAACCTACAGGCCCCACTTGTCATTCACAACCTCAGACAGCAGCTAACACGATTCCAGGCAAAGTCACAATCACATCCACAAATCACTTTCAATTCTCCACACTCACAGTCTCAAATGCGACTCACACCTAATCTAAAAATAGACACACGCAGAGGAAACCTCGCGCAGCAACACTACTCCGTCCACTTTTCACACAATCGGCCACAACATCCCAAAGAGAGACAAGCACCTAAAATGCAGCAGGTTGGGCGCAGGAGGCCACCCCCATTCAACTCGCGCGCGCGCGCACACTCAGCGCCCGCTCCGCGCAGGGACCCGCCGCCAGCGATGGCGCTTCCGCGGGATCAGAACGGGCAAAATCCCCCTTCGCGTAGCTCGCTCCGGGTCACCCTCAAGGTCACGCCCACTGACCACGCCCGGGGCCCGGCTCGTACAGATCTGAGCGTCTGGATACCGCGGTCTCGGTTCCCTCTTCAGAATTACCAGGCCCGGCTGGGAGTCTTGGTTACCTCCCTGGCCTCCCCACCCGGTTCCGCGTCCTTAGACAGCTCTCCCGGAACGGAGCTCCCAGTGCCCTCCTCGGCCTCCTCAGCACCCCTGGCACCCAGCAAGCCTCACCCCCGGCCCAGGGTGAGTCGTCTGCGCCTGCGCACTCGCGCGTGGGCCTGAGCTCCCAGGAGTCTCCGGGGCGGCCCGTTAGGCGCCGCGCGGTGCTCGCTGCGGGTGCTCCCCTCCATTTGCACCCACGCCGACTCTATTGCGACGGGGACTACGCTTCTCCCAGGACCCCGGCTCCCTTTTCCGTTAACCTGGTGGTCGTTTTCCGTGTGGTGAGTTGAGGTGACCCGGGTCTGGATGCGAGAGGAGCTCACGGCAGGGGACCCGGGTTCCTGGGGCGTGGAGAGGGCTTGTGGAGGCAGAAGCCCCAGGCCTGTGTGCAAGTTACCTGCTGGGGAGGGAGACTGTGTGACTGTGTGTGTGTGTGCGGTTCTGTGGCTGCGTCCGTGTGTGGTGTGATTGTGAGTGGGCGCGCCTGTGACGGGCCCGGGACGGGTGCGGGGTATGTGCACAGCAGGTGCACAGCCGGGACAGCCCTGACTGTCCCCTATTGGGTCGGCGGGACCGTTTTTATGACGGCGCTGAGCGGTGACAGTGAATGTGTCATGCTGTTATCAGTGATCCTGTGATAGCGCTGTTGTGACCCACTGGAGACTGTGGTCAAAACTGGACTGGTGCAGCTTTACAGAGTTTGATTTCTGCAGTTCTGGGTCTCGGGAATAGGTGGACAAAATCGCTGTGTGGCTCGATCTGTGTCTGTGGAAGACTCCGAGACCTTCTGTTCTAAAGCATGGCCCCTGTCGCTTTCATAAAGCATAATGCACAGTGGCATGCAGCCTTGCCAATGTTGGGGCCAATTTTAAGTTGCGTGATTTCTTAAGAGTTTGTTGTACTGGGATTTCTTTCACTGCCTCAGTCATTTCACCTTATAACCACATTGCACAGTGTGCAGTCAAATGGCTATCGAAAGGGAAGCTGGATATTTGAGATCCAGAATGAAGTTTCCAACTGAAAAAGCACAGCCTTGTGTTTCACATGGACAAGGCTGTGTACTGATACGCACAGCCTTGTGTTTGATACGGAGATGTTAGAGCTGGAATTGCTCCCAAGGCAAGGTCCTGGGAAGATATGATATTGAGGCCCCAAAAGTAGGATTCCTTTCTCCAAAGATGTGTGTGTGATGGAGTTTCACTCTTGCTGCCCAGGCTGGAGTGCAGTGGCGTGATCTCAGCTCACTGCTACCTCCGCCTTCTGGGTTCAAGTGATTCTCCTGCCTCAACCTCCCAAGTAGCTGGGATTATAAGCATCTACTGCCATGCCCAGCTATTTTTTTTTTTTTTTTTTGTAAATTTAGTAGAGACAGGGTTTCACCATATTGGCCAGTCTGGTCTCCCAACCCCCGACTTCAAGTGATCCACCCGCCTTGGCCTCCCAAAGTGCTGGGATTATAGGCATGAGCTGCTATGCCCAGCCAAATTTGCTACCATTTTCTTAAGAATTTTTGCATGAGGTTTTTGGTCTGTCATTTCTTTTCTTATAGTATCTTTATCAGGTTTTGGTATTAGGGTAGTACTGGCCTAAAAATATATGAACTGTCCTGTCCTTCCCTATTTTCTGAAAAAGTCTGTATAAGATTGGTATTATTTGTTCCTTAAATTTCTGGTTGAATTATCTGGCAAAATCATCTATGCCTGGAGATTTCTTTTCTTGATGTAATAAATTCAATTTCCTTTTTTTTTTTTCGAGACGTAGTCTCGCTCTGTCACCCAGGCTGGAGTGCAGTGGCACGATCTCGGCTCACTGCAAGCTCCGCCTCCCCGGTTCATGCCATTCTCCTGCCTCAGCCTCCCAAGTAGCTGGGACTACAGGCGCCCGCCACCATGACCAGTTAATTTTTTTTGTAGTTTTTAGTAGAGACGGGGTTTCACCATGTTAGCCAGGATGGTCTCGATCTCCTGTCCTGGTGATCCATCTGCCTCAGCCTCCCAAAGTGCTGGGATTACAGGCGTGACCAACCGTGCCTGGCCTCAATTTCCTTGATATATCTGTTTCATCTTGTGTGTTTTAGTAAGTTGTATTTTTTTAAAGGAATTTTGTCCATTTCATCTGAATTCTCAAATTTGTTGACATTAAGTTGTCTATCGTAATTTTTTTTTTTTTTTTTTTTTTGAGACGGAGTCTTACTCTGTCACCAGGCTGGAGTACAGTGGCGTGATCTTGGCTCCCTGCAACCTCTGCCTCCCTGCAACCTCTGCCTCCCAGGTTCAAGTGATTATCCTGCCTCAGCCTCCCGAGTAGCTGCGACTACAGGCGCGCACCACCACATTCAGCTAATTTTTGTATTTTTAGTAGAGATGGGGTTTTACCATGCTGGCCAGGATGGTCTCGATCTCTTGACCTTGTGATCTGCCCACCTTGGCCTCCCAATAATAATTATCTTGTTAGACTCCTAATGTCTAATATGTTCCTTAGTGATAAGTTATCTTTCATTTCTGATATTAGTAATTTGTCTTTGCAGTTTTTTAGTTGATAATTCTAGTTAAGTTTTTATCAATTTTTTTTTCTTTTTTTTTTTTTTTGAGACGGAGTCTTGCTCTGTTGCCCAGTCTGGAGTGTGGTGGCGCTATCTCAGCTTACTGCAACCTCCACCTCCCAGGTTCAGGCAATTCTCATCCTTCAGCCTCCAGAGTAGCTGGGACTACAGGCGCATGCCACCATGCCTGGCTAAGTTTTGTATTTTTAGTAGAGATGGGGTTTCATCATGTTGGCCAGACTGGTTTCAAACTTCTGACTTTAGGCTGGGTGCGGTGGCTCACGCCTATAATCCCAGCACTTTGGGAGGCCGAGGCGGGCGGATCACGAGGTCAGGAGATTGAGACCACGGTGAAACCCCGTCTTTACTAAAAATACAAAAAATTAGCCGGGCACGGTGGCGGGCGCCTGTAGTCCCAGCTACTTGTGATGTTGAGGCAGGAGAATGGCGTGAACCCGGGAAGTGGAGCTTGCAGTGAGCTGAGATTGCATCACTGCACTCCAGCCTGGGTAACAGAGCCAGACTCTGCCTCAAAAAAAAAAAAAAAAAAAAACTTCTGACTTTAAATGATCCACCCACCTCGGCCTCCCAAAGTACTGGGATTACAGGCATGAGCCATCATGTCCACCCAAGGTTTTATCAATTTTGTTCCTTTTTTCAGAGAATTCGCTTTTAGTTTGGCTAATTATATATTTCATTTATTTTTTTCTCTCATCTTATTTCCTTTCTTCTGGATATTGAGAGTTTACTTTGCTTTTTCTTTTCTAGCCTTTTAAAGTAGAACCTGTAGTTATTTATTCTAGGCCTTCTCTTCTAATATAAGCATTTAAATCCAGAATCTCTACTTTAACTCCATTCCACAAATTTTCTTTTTATTTATTTATTTAGGTATTTACTTATTTTTGAGGCAAAGTCTCACTCTGTCACCTGGGCTGGAGTGCAGTGGTGCGATCACGGCTCACTGCAACCTCGACTTCCTGGGCTCAAGTGATCCTCCTGCCTCAGCCTCCCACGTAGCTGGGACCACAGCATGTGATTGCATGCCATCGCATCCTGTTAATTTTTGTATTTTTTGTAGATATGAGGTTTCACCCTGTTGCCTAGGCTGGTCTGAAACTCCTGAGCTCAGGTGATCCACCTGCCTTGGCTTCTCAAAGTGCTGGGATTTTAGGTATGAGCCACCATGCCTAGCCCCACAAATTTTTATATGGTGCATTTTCACTATCAGTTAGTTCAAACTATTTTCTTTTTCCCATTGATTTCTTCTTTAACCTATGGATTATATAGAAGTGTGTTTAATGTCCAAACATTTGTGTGTTTTCTAGGTACTTCATTGTCAGTGATTCCTAATTTCATTTCACCAAAGAACACATTGTGTATGATTTTGATCCTTTGAAATTCACGGATGCTTTTTTTATGGCCTAATATGTGATCTGTCTTGAATATACCATGTGCACTTGAAAAGCACGTGTATTTTACAGTTGTTGGGTGCATTATTTTGCAAAATATTAATTTTATCAAGTTGGTTGCTAATCCATATATCTTCACTGATATTTTTTGTCTTTTTTTTTTTTTTTTGCCAGTTGCTGAGAGATGGATGTTAAAAATCAAGGCCAGGACTACAGTAAGGCTGAAATCATTGAAGTCCTTGGAGCAGAACTGAAAGAGGTACTTACTAACTTTTAGGGTTGTATAAGTGCAGTGTTGTTTGAAGCTGTGTGTGTGTTTCTGTAAAGACTGGTCTGGAAAACAGACCAGGGGAAAACATTTCTTTGCTTTTCTGCTCCGCTCTCACATGAAAACAACAAACACAGTAAGAGTCAACACCAAAGACTTCAGTGACCCCCAGATATGTGGGGATTTCCCCTACCAGCAAGCAAGCAAGCAATCAGTTCTGCAGCAGACGCCAACTGCGTATCCTCCAATTTAATTCTGACACTATCTGCCTGGAAATAGCATCAGATCCCTCAGGCTGAGGGCTCAGTCCCTAAGACTGGCATCTCTTCAGACACCAGTTGCAAGTCTGGGCCTCTAGAACTTCTGACCAACCGGGCTTCAAGTTGGCGTTCCCAGACATTTACAGTGGCTCATGGCTGGAGGATCACTTGAGGCCAAGAGTTCAAGACCAGCCTGGGCAACGTGAGACCTGTCTCAAGAAAATAAAAATTAAAATTAGCTCGGCATGGAGGTACAAGTCTGTGTAGTCCTAGCTACTTGGGAGGTTGGGGTGAAAGGATCACTTGAGTCCAGGAATTCAAGGTTACAGT